GCCGCACGGAGAAGCCCTCGCGGCCCCGCGCCTCCGCTGCCCTGCCCTCCGGGGCTCCCGCAAAGCTTGCTCTCCTTAGAGGGGGTGCTGGAGGCGGCCTTGGGGTGTGGGGCAGCCTCGCCTTGCTCTCTCCGGCGTCCGCGTGAGAGGACGGGGCTCGCTGGGGCTGGACGCCGCCCGCAGCGGGAGCCCGAGGGAGGACGGGGGTGCAGAGACCTTGGCGTCTTCTTCCCTCCGTGCTCCGTTCCACCGTCGGGCCTGGGTACACAGGAAAACGCGCACGCCCTGCTTGTTTTTAACCCGTCAAAATTTTTTTTAATGAAAGAATAGAAGTAATTCATGCCCTTTTCTTTTCTTTTTTTTTTTAGTTATTTTAAAACTTGCTGTAGTGCACATGTGCCTGAAGGAGAGTCGGAGTAAGTGACGACGTACCCTCCGGTGGGAGGTGGCCACCATAATCCCTTCTCCACTCCCCTTCCGGGACCTTGGGCACGTAAGCACACGTGTGTGTTTTAAACTGCCAAATCTGGGACTCAGACTGCACTGTTGACCATGTGGGATCCAGCCACCTCACCAGCCACGCCACTGGTTAGCCCCTTCCACCCTCCCGTGCATTTTGCGTTTAAGTAATAACTATTTTTACACGTTTGCTATAGGGCGTGTGTACCCACTGGGGAAAGAGAAAGCCTGTCCCACAGGGAATGACCACACCGCAGTCTCCTCTAAGGACTTTGGGCAAGCATTACACGTTCTTGACATGTTTTTCATGCTGCCAGGTCTGGGACTCAAACCACAGTCAGCCATGTGGGGTCCAGCCACTATAACCACCACGCCACTGGCTGGGCCGTGCATCTTAATTTTAAGAAATTAAACCTTAACGGGCCAGCTCAGTGGCCTGGTGGTTAAGGCCTGGTCGTCCTCTGTCCGTGTCCCAGAACCAGTGACTTGAAAAACAACCCTGAGAGGGGCAACCTGTTTTGCGGGACACCTCCCTTCTTGGGAGCTCTGGTTTTCCTTCCTTCCTTCTTTAATAAACTCCCCGTTTTGTTAATAAATTCCCCGCTTTTCTAATAAACTCCCCCTTTATTATACCTACAAAAGAAAAAAAACTCTGAGCGCATGTGCGTGGATGCCCCAAATCCCAGCAGAGTAGAGAAATGGAGAAGGGCTTGCGGCATGACCACACCCCATTGGGGTGCATACACACGCTCTCCTCTCTTCTTTCTTGTCTTTCTGGTGAATGTATGAGCATTCTGGCAAATTAAAAAAAATTAAGGACTGGAACCAGCAGTTAGCATAATGGCTATGTCGGTGGACTCCCACGTAGTCGACCGCGGTTCGTGTCCTGGACCTGGTGGCTTAAAACTCAGGCCGGGCGCATGTGCGTGTGTGCCCAAGATCCCAAGAGGAGAAGGGATTGCGGCATGGCCATCCCCCCTGGGGGGTGATTTCCCTCTTTCTGCCTCTCTGTCTCTCTCTGTCTGGCTGGCGAGTGCACGTGCCCTATAGCAAAAAAACCCCTCCAAAAAAAAAAAAAAATTAAGGACTGGCTGGTGGCGTGATAGTTAAGGGTGCTGGACACCCATGTGGCTGACTGTGGTTCAAGTCCCGGACTTGCCAGCTTGCTTTCTCTCTCTCTTGTTCTGTCCCTCTCTGGTCAAATGTAAATAAATAAATAGGTAGATAAAGTTAAATAAAATATTTTTTTAAGAATTATTTTTATTTGGGAACCAGCAGTTAGTGTAACGGCTATGTCGCTGGACTCCAATGTAGTCGACTGTGATTCGAGTCCCAGACCCGGTGGCTTAAACTCACGCTGGGCACGTGTGCATGCATGCCCAAGATCCCGAGAGGAGAAGGGATTACGGC